CTTGGCCGAAGATGCTTGGGAGACGAACCAAATTGGTTAACAAAAATTCTGGAAAGAATGCTGACACCAGAATCCAAAATAATTTAAATATAGAATATATTGAATTTATAAATGTGTGAGCCAGGACAAAGTTCACCAAGGCAAGTCTGGTCTTGAATCCTTTCTGCATCCCCCCAGGAATCTCTTGATCTTTGGGTTCTGGGTTATCAGGACCTCCGAGCCAAGCATGACACAAGTTTCTTCAGATTTCAGATTTCAGATTTCATTCGTGTTTTGGTCATGATACAATCTTAGTTCAGAGCACGTGTGAAAAAAACCGCTTGACTGCTTTGGCCACCAACTCTGAAATGGCCAAAGGCAGGACAAGCAAGGACCTACCCAACAAGTCAGACCTTACAGACAAACTGTCCAAAGACTGGGTGCAAAGCTTTGCAAATGGAGTGGGTCACAGAATACGCACTTCGCGATACTGTGGAAAATCAAGAATTTAACTGCGTGTGATAACTACTATATACATGCATTCCATTTAAACCCCTTTTGACTTTTTCCAATTTACCAAATGCCATTGCAAGGATCCTGAAGTGGATCAACAATCGAAGGCCGTCCGAAGCCCTTTGATGATCAACTGCGAAAAGGTACAGCGGCCGCCGGTCAGCAGAAACCGGTGGTCAAATTGGGAAATCCTTTTCTGTTGCGGTTGGTGGAAACAGGGTGGCCGTGGTTGGTTCCAGGTGGTAAGGTTCCAGGACGGTTGCTATTTGGTTTTCAGTTGGGGAAACATAGGTTATGAGCCCAAAACCCACGGTAAAAAAGGTCTTTCTGTTGAACCCCAAATGTCTAGCCTCATGCGTAGACGCCGTGATGGCAATGCGGAAGATTCGGTGGCTAGCTTAGCGCTGAGCAGCGGACGCCTGCAACTGATGAGAGCGCTGCAGAAATGCGGCCGGCGGATGGCGCAGCTGTGACGGCTGATGATAGAGCTGCAGATGTGCGGCTGGCGGCTGATGGGCGAGCTGCAGAAATGCGGCTGGCGGCTGATGGGGAGGCTGCAGAAATGCGGCCGGCGGATGGCGCAGCTGTGACGGCTGATGAGCGAGCTGCAGATGTGCGGCTGGCTGATGGGCGAGCTGCAGAAATGCGGCTGGCGGCTGATGGGCGTGCTGCAGAGATGCGGCTGGCGGCTGACGTGCCAGCTGGCGGATAAGGCGGCAGCCGCGCTGAGGAGCAAGCGGCTGGTGCTCTAGCGGCTGATGCAAGTGCAGGCGCTGGTGATGAGAAAGGCACCACTGGTTTGGAGATCGTCAGTCAAGAGTTGGTGCCAGCATCACAGGCATTGGCAGTTAGGACTCCCGAGACGGGTGCGTCAACTGGAAATAAGTTTAAAGGCGAACAGAGTCCAAATACACCAGTTTCGAATGGACCTCGGAAAGACATGAAAGATGCTCAGTCTAGTAGGGTTGAGGCAGTGAGAAGTGATGGCATGACAAGCCCAAAGGGACCGCCTGTTTCACATGGACCTCCTTCCTTTGTGACACCTGAGGGACATAGGCAAAGCATGCCTCCACCGTTCACCCCAGAGCAGTCTGCGCGGCTGAACGAGATCCACCGCCCTGCACTTCTTGGAGTACCACCGAGACGGAATCCAGCACAAGGTGAGCTTGGGTATGGGGGAGGTGATAGATCAGCACTTCAGAACATGTTTGCCACGTTTTTGCACAGTTTTGGACAAATGTCTCCAGATTTGACTGGCCGAATGCAACGAGGTGAAGCATGGGAATTACAGGTAGAACAGACCATTGATCAGTTGGGAGTGCAGTTGAGGGCATCTCAGTCAGAAAACCACCGGCTTCGTCAAGAGCGGCAAGAACTCAGAGAAGCATTGGAACGAAAGGGCCACTCGCGGTGTGGAACACCAGAGGAAAGATCGTCAGTAAGTTTTGCTAAGGAGGGGAGCAGCGGCTCAGCAAGGACCTCCACAAAAGGAGGAAGAGGCAGAGTCCCGGCAAGAGCATCTTTTCAAGGAGGACGGAGCAGCGGCTCAGCAAGGTTCTTTGCGAAGAGAAGAGAGGACAGGGCAGAGACCCAGGAAGAAAGGAACATGCAAGACTCAGCAAGTGATCAGTCTTCGGAGGAGCCTCAAACAAGAAGAGGAAAGGAGAAGACCGATCAGCAGACTGTGAAGGTCATGCTGAAGTCGATGCAAGGGATGCAAGAACTACAGAAGCAGATCGTCGTCAGCAAGGATGAAGGGAAAGGTGAGGAGATTGAGACACTGAGGTTTGCGGCGGAGTTGCCAAAGCTGATCCTGAGACGGTGCCGATCGATTTTGCGGACTGGCTGGGGTGCCTCCTTGCCCACATGTCAGATTTGCGCTCCGCCAGTGAAGAGTGGTGGGATCTGACATTGTCCACAGCAAAGACATGGTATGCCAACCACCTCAAGCTCACACCAACTCAGAAGCTCACCAATTTTCCGGAGGCCACGCAGGAGCTGAAGTTGAGAAAGTGGTCTCGGTTGGAGAGACGTGCATCTTCATTGCTCATGGCCGCCTTGCCCGACTCCCTCAAGGAGGAAGAGGTTTCCAGCAAGTCGGTGACAACGCTGGGAATTTTGGCAAAAGCAATGATACAATACCAACCTGGCGGACTGAGTGAAAGAAGTGCCATACTTTCCGCCCTTGAATCGCTGGTGGAGTCAAGCTCAGTGGCAACGGCGACTTCTCAGTTGAGGAAGTGGATAAGGTGGAAAAGGAGAGCCCTGGAAGTTGGCGTCTCCATACCAGAGTATGCATGAAGGGGTCAGGGAAGCTGGTCAAACGCATCGTTGCCAATCATCCAGATCTCAGCTTCCGCCTCTCCTTGGTCAAGAGCTCCCTCATGGTGGACACCGTCCAGACGCTGGATACGGTGACGCAGTACAGCGAGCACCTCCTTGCGGAATTGGAGCAGATGAGTCAGCAGGCCAGAAAAAAGGATGCAGCTGCTAAAGGTCAACCCAAACTGCACAAGATGGAGGAGACACCTAATACCAAGGCAGAGGAGAAGGTGAGGGCCAGGGGAAAGCCGGATGAGGAGGTGGAGAGCAGAAAGAATCCATGTCGGTTTTTTCTTTCTGAAGCTGGATGCAAGCGCGGTCGTGGTTGTCCATATGGTCATGTCATCGACTATGAGAAACGGTGTTGGACATGTGGCAGCAAGAATCATCTTGCAAACAGTTTCCCTCGAGCAGAAGATCCACGTCCGCAAGCAGCAAAGATGGGATCAAAGACAGCTGAGAAAGATTCTAAGTCTACCTCATCAACGACTGAAAAGCCTGAACAGCCTGCAGAGAAGAGTGACAGCGGCAGCGCTGGAAGGGAGGAGACAATGAAGGGTTTGCTGGACGAGGCAAGCAGGATGTTGAAGTCAATGCCGGAGTCGGATGTCAAAGAAAGACGGCAGGTCAAGCAGAACTCCGAGCTCAAAATTTAAGGGCTTCAGAAACAGCTTGATGATTTGAAGCGTGTGTCTATGAAGCCGTTCAGAATCTCAAAACTCCGTCCGACAGCACACAAAGTGCTGCTGGATTCTGGGACTACACATCCGTTGGGGGCGAAGCTCAAGGGAGAGAACTTGCAGCACTTCCCAAAGGTGAAGGTGACATTGGCGGGAGACAAGGATGGCGCTCTCTCCTACTGGAGTCATCATTGGGGAAGAGGGCACTGAGCCAATTATGGGCCTTCTGACAACAGTGTTGGGTTGCGAGATCTCTTGGGGAACACAAGGCCTTGAAGTTCTTCATCCTCAGTGGGGAAAGCTAAACGTCACAGTTGAGGATGGATGTCCAATTGTTCCGCAGGAGGTGGCGATGAAGTTGATCCAGCAGATCGAGAGCAAGGCCAAGCAAGTGGTGAAGACTCTGAGGATGGATACAAGCTCCGAGGCAATGTGGCTGCAGATTGGTTGAAGAACATCCGGCATTCCAAGGTGTGCCAGAGGCGATCAAATCTCAGCTAGTGGAGATGCCAGCAGGCGATGTGATTTCACAATCGAAGACAGCGAAAGCTATGGAAATCAAAAGGGATGCTGGTCCATCTTTTCTCGGGACAAGATGATGGATACACTTTGAGCAGAGCTTTCCATGAAGTTGGAGGCGATTGCAGAATTGTCTGTGAACGGGACGTGCTGCGTGAGAAGAAGTCCAGTGACCTTTCGCCAGCAGGCGATGCGTACCCATTACTCCTCAGAGCAGGTTGGGTCAAAGCCTGGGTGGGAGCTCCCCCGCGTCGAACAAGAGCAGTTGCGGCAAATGGAGGTTCTGGGGGAGGTGATGCCTCGACCACTGCGAGGATGGACTGGTGCAGAATGGGGTTTGGAGGGGTTGTCCAGTTTTGAGAAGAGCCAGGTTCAAGGGGATGACATTTTGATGATGAGATTCTTGGTCCTCTTTGCCGTCTCTGAAACAGTGCGCAGGGCAAATGGCCTGGAACAGCCTACCACGCTCATTCTGGAGCAGCCTGCTCCACCAGAGGACAAGCCTGAAGTGGTGTCATGGTGGAGGACTCCTCAATGGAAGAAACCGGAAGAGATCTATGGTTTGGGCCAGCAAAGGGTGAATCAGTCGGAGTTTGGCGCTTGTGCAACCAAGCCAACCATCATTGGCGGGAATCTTCCACTGGCGGTGTCATTGCCTGGAAGGAAGGGTCAGGGCAGAGATGTATCAGGCATGACAAAGCAAGAGATTTTTTCTTCTTCAAGGAGGTTGTCTCGTTGGCCCCCGCTTTTGATGAGAGCTATGGCAACTGTTTTGCAGACTTGCACTCTTGGTGAGCAGATCAAAGTGAGAGCTGTTTCCTGGCAGGAACATGTAGCAGCCAATGTAGCAGCTGGCCACACACCATTTCGCAAGGAGCGTCGAGTTTGCCAAGAAGCAAGTGCACAAGATGCCAAGCATCGCAGTCAGCATCTACCCCCCAAGGCTGGCGTCCTCAGTGTTGACATCACAGGTCCATTTCATCAAGC